ACAACTATGCATATGTGCCTATAGCCAATATACAAAAAAAATCATATGGAGTTTATTAACAAATAAAATTTTGTCAATTAAAACGTTTATTGTAAAAACTTTATTTTTCAAATTTTGTGGTAGTTTATAAATCTTTTTAAAAGATAAAAGTTTTTAATCAAAATTAATGAATACACGCTCCCATTGTTCATGATTATTCTTCTTGTTTCAACAAAGTCTGCACCACTAAGTACAGTAAGTATATTTTGACTATTAAAAGCGGGAGATAGTAATTTGTGTGTTGTATGTCTCCGATAATGACCATAAATAATATGACCATAAAAATATTGACTATGTATTCCCAAGCTCAGTGAATCAACTACAGATAAAACCAATTAGGTAGGAATACTAATGCAAAAATCTACTATACTATACTAATCTTTCTAATCGCATTTAATCAAATTTAAAATAAAATACATAACCTATAGTATTACTTAACATATAATTATCGAGCTTCGAATTTTAGGATAAATATTTATTATTACATTCCGAAAAATGACAGTTGCAATTATGGTGAGAGCGTTTTTGGCAGTTTAAGATTTGGTGGGAGCGCTAGATAAATTTTTCAAAATTCAAGCAACAGTAATTAGATGTCACTACTAACGTTAGTGTATTAGTAATTGCATAGCTGCTAGGAATTGACATGTACAATAATATATTGTTAGGATATTCTGTAAGTGTAGCAAGTTTTAAAATGAAATTGTACTATGTTAGCGTTGTATTTTAAATTATTTATGTTCTAATTTGACTTTAAAAACTACTAAGATATAGAATTAAATTAATTTCTAAAGTTTAGACATTACCCCCTAGATAATCACACAGATGTATTAGACACAACTGGTTGCCTAATTATTAGTATTTATAGCTATTAATACTAATGAAGCTGAAAGCTTCAAAGCTGTCACGTGCATTCGTAGTTCCCTGCAAACTGCTCGACATCTACGCTTATATTGGTGGCAGAAACTTGACCGATTGTAATACATAATTATTGACCAGATGGGCTGTTTAAAATGGAATCGGCAACCCTTCAATAAAAGATTATTCTAAACCTCAGTGACACTTTACGGAATTGCTTCTTCAAAATCTGCAAATACTGCATTTGCCAAATTGTTCTGTACAGTGTATATGTACATTTTTGATTATTTGGCAATAAGAAGAAACTCAATTATCTTCTTTTAGACCATGGATGGAGAACATTTGTTTAAAGAACTTTGGATAATATGCAAAAGCCCCATCTATAAAAAGGGTCCAAATCTGCTAAAAATTGTAAATGACTGTTACAAGAAAACATAATAATTTAGTTTCCATTGTCATTTAGCATTAGAAACTCCTCGTTTTTGTTGGTTTTCACTGAAAATGTTTTTAATATTACATGAGTTTCTTCCATACTTTTTGGAAATTAAGGCAGAAGAGATTTTTTGGACCAATCCCACATCCTTGGTGGTAAAGGTACTAATACCGCCATGTCGTTATTTCTTATGTAAAATTTTTTCATTGGTCGTTCACTGATGTCTTCTACGGTTTTTCGCTTTAACGAATTACTCAAAATTTGACGATTAAGTACATTTTCGTTTAATTTCATATGATTGTGGTCATCCATAATTTTCGGCACTACGTTGTCTCCTTGGGTGTTTAAAAATGCTGTACATTTTTCTTTAGTCTGAGTACAATAAATCCAACGCTTGAATTATTTTAAAGATTTGTGAAAACGAATAACATTTTTAAGAGTTTTCGGTGCAGATGGTTTGTTGGATGAGCGGGGTTTTTTTAATTTAGAAGATTTGGGATTTTTTAACAGATTTTGTGATGAAACAGTTGTACAGAATCTTTACGAGAAAAAATGATTCTACCAAAACTGCGTTCCGTTTTATGGAGGTTCTTGCGTTACTTGCATGGTAAACATGCACCACATAATAAGAGAAATAGAGATGATGCAGAGTACCTAATGGAGTTTATTAAAAAAATATTTGCCTCCAAATTTAGACATGTCCTTAATGTATTAAAATCTTGTGAAGTTGTGAAAAAAAAAGCCATTGTGTCTTTAGAGATACTTTTAATTATTCTTTTAATCTATAGTTTCACAGGCCACAAAAGGACATATAAATGCGACTATTTTAAAACTCTGCTCAAAACATTAAATGAAGTGGAAGAGAAAACTAAGATTGAAGTGGAAAAGAACCTACACCAAAAAAAGCAAAAGTTGTGAAGCAATTAAAGAAGAAACTGAAGCAGCAAAAAATGAAAAAGAAAAAAAACATGTTGCAGTTTTTGATCTACAGGGAACCTTCCCAGTTCTGTCTACATCTGTAGCTTATTACAAACGACAGATGTGGGTTTTCAATTTGTGTGTACATAATGAAGTTGAAAACTTTGGGCATTTATGTTTGTATGGAACGAAAAGTGTTCGCGTGGTGCTCAAGAGATTGTGTCATGTTTGATCAAAAGTATATTTCTTTTTTGCCTGAAACAACATCCATCCTAAATTTATATTCTGATAGTTGTGGACAGAAAAGGAATATAAAAGTCATTTTAGGTCTTCTTAATGAAATGTAAAGAAGCTATGTAAAGGAAATAAATCTAAAATTTTTTGTGTCTGGACAGTTTCTTCAACTTGTGATCAAAATTTTGGTGTCATTGACAAGGAAAAAAAATATCACGAAAATATATTTGGGCTAGACGGCTGGATAAACGTAATAAACATCTCAAAGAAAAATGAGCCTAAATTTTGTACTCATAAAATGGAAAAAAAAAAGATTTTTTCAGTACCAAAAAATTGGAGCACGATATTGTAAATAGAAAGAAAGCAATTGAAGGAGAAAAAGTAGAATGGCTAAAGATATCTTGGATTCAGTTACGACAATCTGAGCCGAAAAAAATGTATTTTAAATATAACTATAACACTGATAGGTATTTTTCTTCACGAAAAAGATACGTGGCCGTCCTTCAACAAATCCATACATGAAGTTAGATTTATTAGTTCCCGAAGGAAGAGGGATAACAATAGAGAAAAAGAAAGATCTAATATTGTTAAAGTACGTGCCTCCTATCCACCAAGACTATTTTAAAACTCTCAAGTGTACCAATGAGATGGATTCAGGTCTAGCAGATTCAAGAGAAGGAGATGGAGTAATACTTTTTTTTCCGGTTCAACATATTTGTTAGTGCGAAAAACGCCTATACATTTTTTCCTTTTTTTTAATAAAGCTAATTTTGAAATAATTTTTTTTGCTCTATTCTACCTGAATTATTTTAGATTCTTCTATACAAAAACCCCAAAATATAGTTATGTTACTTTATTTAGAAATTTATATAACCGATTAACTTTACCCTCAATTATCTCAAAAGAGTGAACTTGTTGTAGTCACCTCTGGTTCTGAGCCACTCAATTAATGTAATAAATTGACCTTTTTGATCATTGTTCAACTTTTAAGATGGTGGTGTAATTGGTTTATTACATTGCCTAAATGGGGGATTATGATCGCTTTGTTCTTCATCTCTCCTATATTGTTAGTGTAATAACCTCTTGGATTCTTCCTTCTCCTGATTATATCTTAAAAGTTATTGATCGACAATGGATAATTTAAAAAAAAACACGCGCATACACACAGATCAAATAAAACTAGTAGAAATTTTGCCCCAAGCTTTATTTTGAAAATAAATTATAAATAGGATTCATTTTTACAACATTAATACATTTGAAACATGTATAAAAATGCAATTATAATCCAGACATCATAGTCGATGCGTTCAGATTTCCCTGTTTATTTACAATAACTGTACAATATTAAAAATCATTTTTTACTAACTGGAAATCAGAACTCGTCCACTACTAACTTACTAAAATCAGTCTCGAATATATAAGCACATTTCTTCAAGATCTACAAAAGTTAAAAACTAAAAAATACTATTAAATACATAACAAAAAGGTATAAAAAACATTATCGACTCCAAAATGGAACATGCTCTATACGTCAAGTACTGAACTAAAAAAATAACTCGGTACTAGATTATCATGAGGCTTTTTCTTTGATTTAAACTTGCCAAAAAGGTGTAGTTAAATCAAATATTCAAATAAAAATTGAACACAGTACGACTATCTTTAATATTTTCAATATTATTTAGGTTAACACAAAATCTGTAAAAGGTGATTACCATGTCACAAAATAAGTCAAAAATCTATATCAGAGTAAAAGGGATTAATAGGTATATTTAATTCTACAAGCATACGTTTGGTGGTAAAGATATTACCACTATAATTGAGCGAAACCGCCTACAGTGGGCAGGACATGTAGCCCGGGCCCCTCAATCGAACATGATAAAAAAGATTCTAACAGCGCAACCCGTGGGAATGAGAAGACTGGGTAGACCAAAGCTGAGGTGGATGGATGGGGTAACACAAGATGCGGAGAAGATCGGAGTCGGCAACTGGAAAATGCAAGCAAGGGACAGAACAGAATGGCGTAGAAAGCTTGAGAAGGTCGCGGAACTCTAAGGGCTGTAGCACCAAGATGATGATGATGAGGTATATTTAATAGGCAAAGAATAAAGTGCTTTTGAGACTACTACTGATTAGTTTATTACATTACACATGTAAAATAGTATTTTATAGTTAGATAAACAATTTACATCATAACATTCGAGAAATGAACTTGATATGTAATGAAATTTTAAGTCTAAATCTTCTAAAGCACAAACATATGGATTTGCACTGTAGATATCAATGAAGAGCAAGTAAGGATAACTGAGGAACTCCATCTTAAAGGATACAGTAAAAGACCTTTAGCAGAAATTGGTTGTGGAAAAAATCATTGTAAATACCACTTAATATTAGATTTTGGTAGAAAGAAAAAGTTAAAAACCGAATATATTAAAGAAAAAAAAGATTTTGGTTAACCTAATCTTTGACTGACGAAAATAGTACAATAACACAATACTGAACATAAATTTAATAAAAACCGACTATTTAAAGTCAATAAGTTTGTTATTTTTGTCAAAAATAATTAGATCACATAAAAATTTGAATATTTTTGGCAGTAAAAGTGGAATACTAATTAGCAATGAAACATTCCAACCTCATTAATGATAAACTAATATTCATTAGAATTAAGTTAATATTTGGTAACTAATTGTTTTTTAATTATAATACTTCAATTCGATTGAGTTAAGTCGCAATATGACTAAAATGAAAGAAAAAAAAACAAAATATGGTTAGAAGTTACGAACATAAAATAATCAATTCTCAGAATCTAAAAATGATGTCAATATATTGTTATTTGCATTTTTTCTAGTTGAATTGAGAACTGTTTCTAATGGATCATTAATACACAAAAAGATTCCAAATATATCAATTATATACTGTAAATATTTTATTCGTGAATGGTTTTACTTTACTTGCACACAAAATTACAACGCTACAGTGTTGCCACAATGCATGATGATAACTTATTGATATTACTATCTATTCTATACCAGTACTCGGATCTAAGTATGATATGACATACTCTAAACAATATTTTGTTTTTTTTTTTGTTTATTGATACAATAACAAATAAAAACACAAAATTTAAACTCGACGTTATTTTTTACTATAAAATTGGAAAGACCAATTGACAAATATTAAAATTACACATTTTTGGCATTTTTCCTAATGCTTAGTTTATATGCAGATTATTGCAGGTGCATGATTCGTAAGTGGTGGTGGGAGAATATGCATTTTATTTATGTTAATAATATAATACTATTAGAGATTATTAATGTATCCACAAAAATATCACAATATGTGACTTCTTATCAGCGGCGGATACAGGGGCAGGAGAAGGGGACCTACAACTCCCTCCCTTCGTTACATTTATCTAGATATTCGTTTACCCTGTACACATTTCTGTAGGCAGAAAGTATTTTACTACTGTTGTTTAGCTTATACGTTTGTCCGGTTTAGAATATTCGTTTAAGGCTTTGATTGATGTGATTTGACTGGAATCTAATCTAAGAGGACCTAAGATGACGATTATTTAATTTCCCCTTTTGAAATTTGTCTATATCCGCCTCTGCTTCTTTCTTCACAAATTCACAGTCATGTTTTGAGAATTTCTTCCTCGGACGAAGCCAAAGAAAAAATTTTTTCGAAAGCTTCTTGATGGTGTTTCTTAAGGTTACACTATTAGTTCATCCATCTTCCTCTTTAACTGCTGGCTGCTAAGTTTCTGTTTGAGCTGGAAATAGCTGTTCAGTCTGGTGTTAGCGAATTCCTGTAACAGAAAAAATATTGTAAAAAACTAGGCAATGGGTTTTTTAAGTTTTATTTTCATGGAAATGTTCCATGGAGACAAGTGGAATTTTCTGAATGTTTCTACACTCCGATCGCAAAATTGCTCCGACATGACACTGATTTCAGTTCTTCCAGATCGTTAATTCTTAAAAGTTTTTCAAAGATCTTCTATGAAAAGTGATTTCAGTAGAGATATTTTAATAAAAAATAAAATAAATGACAATCTAAGAAGCAGCTGAACTTACTGCTCAATACAACACCAGCAAATATAGTGTCTGATGCACTTATACATCAATAATTTACTCGTACATACTCCACTGCATATAGCAATGCATTGAATGTTCTAACTTCACTGTTTAAAGTGAGTTTACTTTGTAATTTAGTTTTAAATTTTTTACAAAGAAAAAAATGCATTTCTGCTATAGCACAATTAGATAAGGGTGATATACTTTTGGCGATGGGGATGATACATTTAGTTAAAAACCTGTATGGACTTTTGACAGGTACATCATGTTATCTCGCAGAACACGTGATACGTTTTATACGTACCTAGACTATTCAGAAATAGTACTGAGTGAAGTCACCTCCTGGAGAGATCAATCTCATTTCTTTGTATTACATCTAAATTATTTGAAAAATTATTTGTAAAAACACTACTAATTTCGACTGATCTATTGATCAAGTATACTGTATCGGAAAGAATTTGTACGAGTTGCGTAAAATATCTTCACACAAATTTAAAAGAGTTTATTAGTCGTAGGAATCAGCTAGACTGTTGATAAATTTATTGTTTTTATTTGACCCTGTCATCTTTTTTAACATTTGACCAATGTACAAAAACAATCAAATTTGATGGAATTTATTTAAATGGCAACGTAGCATTACAATAAACTTTTATTGGTTTGGTAGGCGAGGCCACCAAACTCGCTTCATAGGCACCATTGCCAACCCTACTGTGTGAACAGTAGATTAAACATTTTCGCCGTTACGTCCCTGTTTTCTGTTTTAGTTTGTATTTCTAGTATTTTTTGGTGACGCAACTATTACTACTATATCTACTATTTTTTGGTTGTTACTTGCAACCTTGTTATCCAACTGAAAAGAGAACACATGTTAACGGTTGTGGGTACGATTCAGTCCCAAAGAACAGGATTACCCCAATTATGACCAATGTGAAAGACGGCACTGTAGCTTCCTCTCTTTTTGGTTTTGGAGCACATATTATAGTGATATCGCAGGTACTCAAAAAGAATAAAAAATGTGTTCCTAGTTTTATTCTTTCATCACAATGGAGATACGGTAGATGAAACTAGCAAGAAACCAGAGATGATTTTACTCTATATATATATATAATATATATATATATATATATATATATATATATATATATATATATAATGGCTATACACCCCAGCGTGGGGTTTAAACCGCAAATGCTTTCTAGATCCTATTTCTTAAGTGGATCAGTCTTTTTTTTGTTTATCTTAGCTTCTTGACAATGTCTCTCCATTTTTTCCTGTCTCTAGTTTTTCCTCTCCATTCACTGACTCCTGCCCTTTGGAGGTCTTCTTCAACTTCTTGCAGCCACTTTGATCTCGGTCTTCCCCTTCTCTTTCTTCCTCCTGGATTCCATTCTATCATTGCGTATGTCACTGCCTCATCGCCTGCTCGCCAAATGTGACCTAACCATCTAACTCTGCATTGCTTTATTTTAGTTACGATGTCTTCCTTAAGTTCTTCCTTAATTTCTGCATTTGTTCTGCTTCTATATTCATTTTGCTCTGTTCTGATTGGTCCTAGTATGGTTCTCATAATCTTTCTCTCTGCAATTCTTAAGTCTTCTTCATCTTTTTTAACCATCGTCATTGTTTCCCCTGCATATAATAATATTGGTCTAATTATGGTGTTATAAATGCTCATCTTGCTTTTTTTAGTCAGTGTTTTGCTTTTAAGTAATCTTTTGTTTGCAAAATAAGCTTTATTCGCTGCTAATATTTTTTCTTTTATTTCGGATTTCCTTTCTCCGGATTTACTTATTGTAACTCCTAGGTATTTGAAGTATTCTACTTCTTCAAACTAGGAACTTCCTATTTTGATCTTTTCCTTTATTGGTTTTTTCCCTAATCTTAATATTTTTGTCTTTTCTTGATTTAATCTTAGCCCCATTACCTCCCCTTTCTCTCTTATTTCTTCAAGCATTTCTTTCATTATTTTTCTGTTCTTTGCAATAATAGCAATATCATCTGCATATGCAATTATTTGACCACCTCTTGTTCTGAGATTTCCTTTATTTATATTTCGCAGTACATATTCTAATGCTAGATTAAATAGCGTTGTTGATAAGGCATCTCCTTGTTTCATCCCTTTATTTATACTGAATTCCTCTGTCTCTCCTCTTTGTGTCTTTATGCTTATTTTTGTAGTTCTCATTGTCATTTCTATTAAGTTTCTGAGTTTATGTGGAATTTTTAATTTTTTAAGTGCTGTCATTAATAAGTTCCTTTTAATAGAATCAAATGCCTGTTTGAAGTCTATGAATAACATTTCCAGTTCTAATTTATACTCGTTTGCTTTTTCCATTATTTGTTTTATTGTGTGTATTGCATCTATTGTAGATCTTCCTTCTGTGAATCCACATTGGTACTGTCCTACTGTCTTCTTTGTGATCTTTGATAACCTCTTTTTTATTATTGATGTCAATATTTTATATGTTGTATTTAGTAATGTTATTCCTCTATAATTTTCACAGATTTGTTGGTCTCCCTTTTTATGTACTGTTATGATCTGTCCTACCTCCCAGTCACCTGACATTTTCTCTTCTTTCCATATATTTTTCAATAGTGCCAGTATTTTTCCTTTTAGTTCCCTTCCCCCGTATTTTATTAGTTCCATATTAATTCCATCTTTACCTGGATTTTACTCTATAATGATACCAAATGTGTAGTAGATATTGTAGATAAAATGGCGTCATCTTACGATGTGTCTAGATGGCCACTTGTAATTTTTTATAGGGTCCTAAATATCGCCAGTATAAACGGTTTTGTAATTACCAAACATAATAATTTCAATTCGGAATATACTAAACAACGAAGACAATTTATTAAAAAATTAGGAGAAGAACTAGTAAAAAGTTATTTGGAATCAAGCGCTACAACTTCAGGATTATATTCTAACAAGGATCATATCATATCGTAGCCTGCTTTGACGAGTGTATTCAGCAAAAAACCAAAGAAACTTTCCGCGTGATTAATTTTTCTGTATTTTTTGAGTCATATAATTTTTCTGAACCCTTTGTGTTTTTCAATATAGTTTCATTATTGTTTTGATCAATTTTTGCAAAATAGAAAAACTATTTGATTTTTGGTAACTTATTACTTTTAGTGATATAGAATATATCACTTATTTTTAATCACTATAATTTAATACAAAGTAGGCATAATAGGATAGGATATGCTGTTTTCTTCCATCCCAAATACATGGCCTGACATTCAAAATGCTGTAGGCGGACATGTAAAATAAAGGTGAAGGCACCATAGTGTCCATAGTACAGGAGAAATGCACAAATTAATAGGAATCTGGGCGTTAAAATGGTCTTTAAAGAAATCAGAATACGCACATGGAACCATAAAAAAAAGATACATAATAATCACACTGATACGCGCTTAACAAGAAAGCTCAAAAAGACAAAGCATTTGAATTAGTTTAGTTGCAAGTTAGTCTCCAATGCAATAATTTGTTTCATGTAAAAAGAACACCATTGAGTAAACATCGTAAACAGAAAAATTGTCGGAACAACGGCGGTACAGTTTTTTTTGCTTTAGGATTAATCCATGCAGCCAGAAACTAAATAAGTATTAAGTCTAGCCTATTAGGTTAATTCTTAGCCTGACAGACCATTTTTTTTTTTGGAAGTTTAATCATAATAAGCATTTTGGGATGGCGGTACAGGATTTGGGACAGTAAAGAGACGTAAAGAGACATAAAGGCACTAAATGTTGATTGTTCCTGCTGGACTGCTGCTGTTAAAACTATGCCGCAATGGAAGAAGCTGCTATATACGTAATATTTCGCATATCAATCTCAAAACGCTCATTTGAATTTATACAATTTTTTAAAGATTTTTTGTCTATTCATTTCTTGTTGTCGTGTCAGTGAATAAGAATTCCCAGCGTATTAGATATCTATTGCGATTTTTTTGAAAAAAAAAAGCAAATTAATTTTGTCCAGTGCAAATAATCCGCAATTCTAAGAACGCCACTACCAAGCAACTATTTTTATAATTATTTATCATATTGTCATCCCACAAATTATAAATTATCCAATCCATTTACTAAATAATCTAACCTTGAAATATCAAATTAATTGATCCCATTTATCAGTGAATATGCAAAAATTAATGAGGCTTAAAGTAGGAAATGCGGAAAACTTCAGTGCAATTTAAATTGCCAATTGATACAGAAACAACGCATCAAAATCGTCAAACATTAAATCACAATTAGTCGTGCTGAAAGATAATCAAACAATTTTAATTGGAAACAAAAATAGACGCAAAAAGAATAATGAGCAGAGTATAGTTTTTAACTGAAGTGTCCTTTTGATCACATAATAAATATTATAAAATATAAGGATTATGTAAAAATAAAATACTAAAAACTTTTAGTTTCAAAAGCCAAGAAGAGCCAAATGAAAAAGCACTTAGACTCACCAAAAGTGAATAGTATAGCAGCGGGGTTCAAACCCACTTTGGTAACCTGTCATCAGGGTCAAGCAATCGTACGGATGGAATAGTTTGACCTTGGGTGTGTAAAAGAAGTACAAAAAGTGATCGACAATGACCAGACGGTTGTAAGAACTGGTCGCTTATCGCTTGATCTCTTCTTCTTTCCCGAAGAAGTGATCGACAATGACTAGAGGGTCGTAAGAAGTGGTCACTTCTTACGACCGTGGATATTATTCGGGAGCAACCTCCTAAACTTTCAAAAACACAAAAAAAAATCGACAGGCGGAGAGGGAGCGCCACGAAAAGCTTAAAATAATTAATTTTAATTTTATAGAAATAAACTTTTAGGTTCTATACGTTGTTTGTTCTTTAAGATGTCTGATTCATAAAAACACCGGTAAGAAAAATGTATTTATCATTATTTCATTATTTTTTTGTTTTTATTTCAGCCTTTAATCCGCCTAGTAATATCTTCCGGTAGGGGAGTACTTCAAATTAGAGACGAAATTTTATCGGAGGAAGATTTTAAATATAGAAGCAATTACAATGCCCAAATACCAGATGACCATCCACTGCACAGAGATGCAATAATTTAGGCAAGCTACATTGATCAGGTGACGTTGTCCTATTGGCAAGAAGTGAAAACAAACTTTTGGAATGACATAACGATTTACCAATAATAATTTTGTATAAATAAACTTTTAGATTTTGTACGTTGTTTTTTCTTTAAGTTCCTTAAATAAATGTAAAACATGTAGAGATAAAGTAATCCAAGATGATAAATATGAAATGATACAACACTTGTAAAAACAAATATATATATATATATATATATATCTATATATATATATATATATATATATATATATATACCTAAATGGAACCTCTCGGATTACAATTTCTACAAGTTTTAAGAGTAAAAACGAAATTGACTAGTCTAGGCTAGACAAATACGTCTACGCAAGTCCGTACACAAACAATTTATTTTTAACTCACCAACACTTAAACAAAGTCTCAATACAAATTCGATCACCCTGTACAAATTTAACAAAAAGAAGACGAGATGATGCAATAAGCGATGAATTTTGGATGGTCAACATACACTCTACATACAAGGTGGTCCACTCAAAGACACTCCCTCTGGTCATTGTCGACCGCTTCTTTTACTTCTTCAGGACAGGTAAGACAAAGAAGAGACAAGAGAGACAGGTGTAAAATATACAGGTAACGTAGGTGATAATTCTTCGGCTGAGAAGAAGAGATCTAGAGATAAGCGACCACTTCTTACAACTCTCTGGTCATTGTCGATCACTTCTTCGGGAAAGAAGAAGAGATCAAGCGATAAGCGACCACTTACAACCACCTGGTCATTGTCGATCACTTCTTGTACACCCCCAAGGTCAAACTCGGCCATCCGTGCGTTTGCTTGGAGACCCTGATGGGCAGGTTACTAAAGTCGGTTTGGTACACTACTGTGGTGTATACAAACCGTGTTAAATGCGACGGCTGCCCAAAAATTTGCATCGATCAAACCGGTAGAACTTTTAACAAACGTATAGTAGAACATACTCAATATACATGATCAATTCAGAACGTCGGCTCATAAACACCATAAAGAGGAGAAAAACAGAATACTTCGGCCATATAATTAGAGGACCTAAATACCATTTACTTCGCCTTATAATACAAGGAAAAGTGGAAGGAAAGAGATGGATTGGTCGAAAGAAACTTTCATGGCTGCGTAATATTAGACAATGGTGTGGTTCCACAGTAGAAGAATTATTTCGCGCAGCAGCCGACAGAGAAAGGTTTCAGGAAGTTATAAACATGATGACGGCCAACGTCTGAATACGGACACGGCACCCAAAGAAGAAGAAGATAGTAGAACATAAAAGGACTTTCGATAATAGAAAAATTTACTTCACTTTCTAGAGCAGAATAACTTTTTTAATGACGAATTTCAAATTCTTCACATCCAAAATAAAGGCCTTAAGCTATCTGTATGAGAATCTATGGAAATCAACAAATTAAAAAATACAGACATTATTCTGAATGACCAACTTAAGACAAACAGTTCTTCCCTCCTCAGCATATTCAGTTCAAGTGTAAACACATACCAAAAATAGATCACTTGAGAAAGGCACGCTGCCGAAACAGCATAAACATTTATAATAAATTTTGTTTAAAGTTTTGAAAATAAAAGTTTTCAGTGTTTTATTGTTATATAAAATGAATTTCCATCAAGTAACAGTGGAATCCATCACTTCGGATTATATGTCCAACATATGTCTAATATTCATCTATAAATTGATCCCTCGGATCTCCTTATCCCATTTAGAAATTTCAAGATAAAACTACATTCAGCAGCTCTAAATTAGAAGTGTACAGTAAAATTATTACACAAAATGAATAAACGCATGTATTATTTGCTGATGATATATCGATTTGAGAATAATTTAATATTGTAGATTCCCCGTGATGAATTCATAAATCTGTCTGCTTTATACATTGTAAAAAGCGCAGTAGACAAATATTTGAATTTAGTTTAGCCAACTAAGAAATCCTACTTCTACTAATTTTATTTAATATTTATATACAACTTACCCAATATCCGAAAGGAATACTTGAAGTTTCCGCGTTAATTAAAGCCCACACACTCCAGAAGAGATGCGGTGCCAGGGTGAAGACTTCCACTTCTCTAAGGATCTTTTTCGGGTTCTCTCGTGAACCCCTTTCACGCAAATAGGCTCTAATGAAGGCTAGTCTTTGTTTTTCCGTGGGATATTTGCTGTGATCCTCGCTGTAGAAGGGATATTCTTTGTGAGTGTAGTCGTAGACCCATTCTAGGAAGTGATTCGCGATGTCGAAAGATCTGTAGTTGTAGGAGCAGTATTCGAAGTCTGAAAAAGAAAGACAGAGTATGCAATAATAGTGAAAGATTATAAACCTAGTATGTAGGGTCTTCTAAACCTATATATGAGATAAGCACTTATTTGACTGGTATTTTATGACAGATTGTAAGCGAGTAAACGAGTAAGTTACTAAATATAGTTAATATATCACACGAACAATAAGGATTCAAAGCGGAAAATCTCGTGGTCTTTATAATCAAGCAAATAGTTGAGAAATCTATATAATACAATAAACCAGCCTACATGTGCTTGGTGCATTCACAAAAGTCTTTTGACAGAGGGCGACTAATCAGACACTATTTGCTATATAACAGATAAGAACTATTGGCTATCATAGAACTGTAAGTAACATAACCCATCGAAATAACAGGGCACTCTCATCAAGTCCAATAATACTCAATCTCATATTGGATGAGATGATCATCATCAGTATCTTTGGTGCGACAATCCTCGGTTAATCCAGTACTGTTCTAAGATTCGTCGCAATTCTGTTCGGTTTATAGCAACGTGTATCTTCTGATCTCTAATATTCCCCAGTCGGTCTCAACTCCACTGCTTCTTTCTACAGGTGTGCTACTGGTTAGCTTTTTAACGATCGTGTTGTCTGGCAATTGTATTATACTTCAGCCTATATGGGTCGTTGTGTTTTAATGGAGGTATATCCAAGCCATTAAAAAGCGTAATAATCAATTACCAATAGCAGTAAACAACGGATACAATGAACAAACAATTAATAAAATGTTAAATCAAAAACTACACAAGAAAGCCATGAAATTAGTATTTCCACCACCAGAGAAAAAACCCAGTACTTTCTGTTCGATTACATATACAGGCAAAATTACAACAAAAATAGCCAAACACATAAAAAAGAAAGGAATAACACCAGCTTTCGGAACAAATAACAACCTAGGTAAATATATCAAAAACAACAAGAGCCAAAATAAAAAACACTTACACAGTGGTGTGTACAAACTTAAATGTGGCGACTGCCCAAAAACTTACATCAGTCAAACTGGTAGAAACTTTAACAGACGAATAGCAGAACATAAAAGGGCTTTCAATAATAGAAAAACAGATTCTACATACGCACTTCACCTTCTAGATCACAATCATTCTTTTAACGACGAATTTAAAATTCTTCACATTCAAAATAAAGGCATTAACCTATCCTTGTTAGAATCTATGGAAATCAACAAATTAAAAAACACGGATATAATTCTGAATGACCAACTCGAGACAAACAGTTCTCCCCTCCTCAACCTATTTCATTAGAGACTATAAAGTGTAAACACATGCCAAAAATATATCAATTGAGAAAGGCAATTAGCCGAAACAGCTGTAGTGATAAGAGTTAAAATAAATTTTTGTGAAAGTTTGAAAACAAAGTTTTCAGTGTTTTATTGTTACATAAAATGAAATTCCATCAAGTAAAGGTCGAATCTATCAATTACCAAGAACTCATCTTTACCTCAGAAATCAAAACTTTATTTCTCATCTGGCAAAATGAGACCATGCTCTGTGAATGATCTCAAGGCGTTATATGTCAGTTACGTAAAAAAGTACCAGCATATTAACGACTACTTACAAAATACTAACACATACTATCCACGAAAAGCTGCAAATTTAGACAGTGAATGAGGTGATGAAACAAGTGAAAACGAAGTCCTGATAAGGCAGAATGAAGACGACTTACAGAAAATGCTACCTCATTTCAATGTGAAGACTAAGGAATTCAATATGAGTTCCATATGAAAATATCGTCACAAAAAAAACTAGTAATATCCAAAGATCCAATTTACTAGATTTATTTTATATTAATCATGATTCAAGGTGAAATGGATTAACTAAACATTAATTTTTTCTCTTTGTGTATTTTGATAAATTGTTTTTTTTTTTAGTTGCATGCTTATTTATTTCGATATATAGTTAATCCAAAGAAGACTTGTTAAATTAATTACTAGTTCAATTTATTTATTTCATTTTTAGTTATTTAGAAATACAATAATTTCTATCTGATATGTTGCTATATACTGTTTTATTTAGTGAAATTTCGTTTTGATATGGGTCTTTTAATTAGTTATTCTTTTTGTATCATGAGCATCCCATTTCTGTTTTTTGAGACTCAAATCTGTAAACAGAATGGCGCTCCTTTGGTTTTTGAATTGTTTTTTCCCTTTTCTTTTTTTTTTTGTTTTGTGCATGTATCTCGCGTGTTTCTTCTTAAATGCCTCCGACCATCGTCTGCAACGACTAAGCAACGGTACTTTCGATTCAAGTGTAGCCAGGGGCCTACTTCTTAGTAGTTCAGTCCTCTGTGTATAGTACAGTTTAACAAGATTAGAGAACTGGAACAAATGCGGTATGAATACACAAGCAGTATTATTTTAGTACCTTAAAATCAAAGGGGATTTTCAATAATGACCAATTAAAGCGATTTATACACATCAAACAAATATGATGACATTTTAAAATTATGTTGTATTGAGTAATCCTTTGATGTTTACAACTTATGAAACCCTACTTACTATTTTAACATCTATAAAAAATTCCAAAAAAGGTTAATAGTCACATTTATCTATTTATAACAAAATCAATATTTATAAATATATTTCTGTAACAGATACTTTGCCCGTTAATACATTTTTTTACATCATTGACTCCACGAAATGATAAAGTTATCGATTTTCCATCAAAAACTTGGTAGCTGTTTACCCTTAAAAGACAAAAATGTAGGTTGGGTATTTTTAGAAAAACACGTTTATGTGGAAAACAATAAATGCTCATTCATGAATGACTATCTTTTAAGACACAGTCCACAAATGTTTCGCCTTTGTATTTGAAGAAACATTCATTGGAATGAATTCTATTCATTAGCTGTTAAATATTAGAAGATATCTTTTAATAGCGGAAAGAAAGGAATCATAGAAGTGTATAGAAAAAGCTTTGTCACCTGCTTTTCAAATTTTATCAATAAGGGACTTCTTTAAACACTCGTAAAGATTAAAATGCATTTCTATTTTGCATTTCTAGTGTATATTTTCATATATACACAGTGATCTTGATATTTCTATAAATCATACAAATTCGAGTAAGTAGCCACCGAACTATAATACCTGTCCCATTATTTACTAATAAAATTAACCATTTTATTAGTAAATTTTTCTGGATATTATTATGACGCATTTATCGGAAACCTGAGAGTAGAAATTTTAATACAGCTTGATTATAACAATAAAACACGAATGCACATAAGTATTTGCTAACAAAATAGCAAAGCAATTTCGTATAATTGAGCATGTTATTCGTATTGCATGAAGAATCCATGAAATTTATGACGATAAACGATTACGATAGACCTTAAATGAAAAGTAAAAATTCGGTTTTAAGAAATATATGGAGGTAATAGTAACGTAGTATTGTTAATAAATAGACCGGCAGCTGGTAAATGGTTTTAAACATAAAAATTATTGTTTTCTTGAATATGAGTCTACGTAAAAAATCAAAAAACCGTCTTTTACTAAAGAGCGAATTTTATAACGACGTGTTACATAATTTAAAAAACTTATAAGATGTAGTTGAATGGGAATAATTTTATTCAAAAACTAGTTGAAGAAACAAAACTCAATGTTTTTTTTCAACATATTTTCTTAAAACGTGTGTACATTGCCTACAATGTATATGTTTATAATAGCTGAAACCCTATGTTGGACTTATTCATCACCAAATATATTATCATAGAAGATGTAAGAACTCACTACGAATGCAGCTCCGATCCCAAATCAGTGACAGGAAGAATGACGTCAAGAAGGGACCTCCCAATAGTTGAACCATTAGAAAGATGGAAATTAAAGGAAGCAAACTGGCCAAACTACAGAAGACAGCTAAACTAAATGGAATTGAAGTGAAAGTTCCAGTCAACTGAAGAAGTCGAAAGAAAAATAGAAGAAATAACAAGAAAAATCCAGCAAACCATGGAAGATAACATCACTAGAGGAATGACGAACAATAGAGGATTATCACACCGAACGAGATGAAAGAAATCATCAAGGACAGAAACAGGCCAGAAGAGCATTCCAAAGGACAAGAAGACAGAAGTTCAATGATTACGGGGATGAACTATCCGAAGATATAAGAATAAGACTTGGGAATTTCAAAGAGAAAAAGTGGCACAACAACATCAGGAAAGCAGAAGAAAACCATGGAAACGTATGGAAAATGCTGAAGGTCAAGCGAAGAGAAAAACAGATAATAGACAACGAGGACAAATAGGACAACGATACGCAAATAATAGACGACGAGGGAACACACTTCGAGACCCAGGAAAAAGTGAATGCAATTGCAAGAAGAATGACAGCAACAAACAGGCAAAATCAAAACATGTCGAAAGCAAGAACCATAGAGGAGGTCAAGACAGAATACGAGAGGATAAAAGAAGAAACGAATTTTTAGTAGAGGAAGAAGACTACATCAACCCAACAGAAGTTGCTAAAATCATCAGAAGATTAAAAAGAAGCAGTGCTCCAGGTGCCGAAGGAATCCACAACATAGCTCTCAAGGAACTACCAAAGAAGATAGTAGTGTAACTCTACTATATCTTCGAATATTGCCTGGAAAAAGCGCATTTTCGAAAAAAATGAAAACATGCTAAGATCATCCCTCTATCTAATAAAACCAATGAAGGATGGAAGAAGACTGGAAACAATAAGAAAAATCCTGGAGAAGATCATCTACAGAAGACTGATGAAACATGCAGAATGAAGAATCATTCAGGAGGATCAATTCGGATCCCGAAAAAGAAGAAACTGCGAACTCCAACTAACAAGAATTATCAGCGACACGAAGATCAGATTCAACAGAAAACAGATGACAGGAATGCCCATCCTAGACATCGAGAAGGTCGACATATGACACGGTCTGGAAGAAAGCCCTAATCTACAAGATGGACAGATCTAGATTACTTCACTACTTAGTTAACGACATATTTAACTAATAGAACTTTTCAAGTTTCATCCGACGAAAAGATGTCCAGAATTCAAGATCTCCAAGAAAGGACGCCACGAGGCAGTATACTCTCGCCCATTTTGTATAATATTTTTATTTCACATTTACCAACAGATGGAAATGATACTGCAATCTACGCAACAGGAAAAACCGACAGAAGAATGGTCCAAAACATAGAAAATCACCTTGGAAGAATAACAAAATTCACGGAAAAATGAAAAATCAAGATCAACACTAAAAAAACGCAATTCTTCATGTTTACGCAGGAAAAAAAATTTTCAGTAGTCGAACGCACAATGGGAGGAAACAGGATCCAATCAGAAGACTCATTTAAGTACCTAGGCAGGTAACTCGCCACCTCGACAGGTAACTCAACTTCACGAAGAACAAGCAACAAATCAAAGTAAAAACAAATATTGCAAAAAGACTAATACTTCCTTATATTTTTAGATCCAGCCCACTATCGAAGGCCAAGAAGATCCAACTATCCGTTGGATTTGGCCGTTAATCGATAATACTTTACGTTGTCACAATATGGAGCTCCACCGCGGAAACCAACTGTAAGAAGCTAGAAAGAACAGAGACGTCATGCTACAGGATCATCGACGGATCAACATGAGAAGACAGAAACAAATGCTACCATCACAGAAAGGCTCCAGTATACACCAGTCAGATAGGTGGCTGAGAATAGGACAATATACTTCTTCCACCAAGTCACAAGAAGACTCATAAAAACCAGTGACATCCTCGCCAAAAATTGGATACTGATGACGTACAGATCAAAATACCGGCTGATCGACCATCTCATCAGGGACTAGCCGATTGGTTGTCGAAGACAATCAGGAAAGTAGGTACATCAAGAGAAAAGGCTAAAATACCTTAGGTTTAAAATATCTTTGAAAGGTGTGAAATGTATATGTAATAATGTAATATATAATGTAATGTAATATTATTAAGGCGATAAACTTTTATTTTATTTTTATTTATTGTAATAGTTGATAGATCAGGGTCGATAGAATGGATAGATAAATTAATGGATAGGATATTAGGTAGAGCTTGTTGATTTTGTAAACGGCTATGACCTTGAACATATCTGCGCGTCGGTTCGTCCAAAATTATTAAAATCTGTACGGTCAAAGCGTAAATTTGTACTTTCTGCATGAACGAGTCATAGCCGTTTAGATAATCCACTGCTTCTAGATAGATGTTTATACATTGATTATATTTGAACTCACCTATTATTACGAGTTTTGGTTCTTCGTCATTATTATTTTCTAACTCAGCATCTCTGGGCAACAATATATTTCCTACTTGCATGTCGTTGTGGCAAAAAACAACAGGACTGTTCTCACCTTCCAATCTGGTTCTCAACCACTCGATTTCCGACCCGAAATTGACCTTTTCCAGGATGTGTTTGGTGCTTTCCGGCATGTTGGTCAGTTGCATGTTCTTTAAACTGTTCAACCATCTATCGAGAGTGTTCCAAAGCCATTCGGGCGCTTTGTGTAGAGGTACCTGAAAACCGTTGAAAACCGATTGAAATTTGATGTCGGTGTAGCAAGATTCTTGATTATTATATTATTTTAAACAACGTGTTTTCTGCAAAAATGTCTTGTTGAATTTATTGGAAGCTTTTTAAAGATGAATGAATACGAAAGGGAATTTTAAAATACTCAATATTTGTGGGTTCAATGTTTCTCGATCAACTTAATCTAACGAACATGGAATGGCTTGTGTATACATATATGTTGAAAGAAGCTTTATTTAGAATAAAGAAGAAATGGTTATAATTTTGATTATGTATAAACAGGCCATCACAAAAGTTACTGCAAGAGTAAATTCCAATTGCTTAGAATTATCTTAAATCTAACCATTCTTAAACGGTTTGGAACATGAGACCAAAAATGACAATTGAAATTTACTCCAAATAAATTGAAACATTAATTATGTTATGTTGTAAATATGTCAAAATGTCCCTATCCGTCTACTATACGTGTTCATTCTAAATTAACGTCTTTGAAAATAATTGAATGTTTCTTTTGATATTACTCGAGGTTCTGAGAAAATTTGGAACCACAGCTTAAGCAACAATGTTAAAAATTCATTTTCTCTAACATAAAAAAATGTAGAACACTTGTTGTAGGTTGTCCTAACAGTCAAAGAACTGCCAAATTTTGTGAGCTAAAAGAATCGAAAAAAACAGCATAATTGAAACTATAAATAAGTTTGTTTTGATATTACTCGAGGTTCTAAGGAAGTTAAAATTATTTATCTCATTACAGATAAATTAACAATCTTAAAAATCGATTATCTCTAACATAAGAGGTTGTAGAACACAGATAAATGGACAATCTTAAAAACTGATTATCTCTAACATAAGAGGTTGTAGAACACTTGAGTCCAAATACTCGAAACTACAGCTCTTGAGGCGCATGAAACAATAAGAGAATCATTCAAACCTGAAGCAATACAAGATTCTAACATTATAAAAGCAATTTGACTAGAAAACCTACTAAAAGCATAAATAATCATCAAGAGAGTAGTAAGACAAATGAAAACAAAGACCGGAAAAATTCCAAAAAATAGATAAAAATACATATGAAGGTTGTGGAACGCAACAAAGAGAAGAAAAATTATTGTAAAAGTTTTGTCTATTTAATTAGGATAATACACTCATGAAATCTGAAAGAAAAATATTATATAATGAAAAAAACACTATTTATAAATTTCCTATATGTGAAAAGAGGATTGCCAAATTTGTCTTAAATCATTTCTACATCAGCTCACCAGAAATAAAAGTGTGGTGCAAACGAGGCTGATACGAAGACATCTCCAACAGCTGCTGAAATACTGAAGTACCACTATCCTTCCTCAATTTGGCTCCGCTCTTAGTCCAAAAATCATCTCGTAAATCAACCAAACATATATTTCTGTTGAGCTGCCTATAGAAAATGAGATGGCAAAAATATTTCCATTGTGTTAATCTATTTCGTCATACTACTGATTTTTAGCACTATTATTAATGTTTACGTATCTCATTGTAGATATGAGGACATTCAACTTCAACTGGTATTATATCTACTGTTATAAACTGCTTTTGTTTGAACATGACTCACAAGTATCGTACGACTTATTTTAAATTACCATGTCTATGGATGATTATAAAAAAAAATTAAGGATTTCATGGCAAAGAACTATAACTGAACTGATGTCATTACCTTACAATACCAAATATAGCTGGAAACAACTGACTTGATTTAAAAAGAGCTAGACAGTATCTATTCTCTCTAATTACTTTTATCAAATTTTTTTTTCATATCTTCAATTTTTATTATTCTCCTTAAACTCTTTTAAAATTATATGTATGTTCTTAGATAGTGTAATCAAGCGTACAGTGAATTTAATAGATGCTATTCTACTCTCCAACTAGATTTAGTTTAAAAAAGTCCAAAATTTGTACGCGAATAATTACTTATTATAATTCATATTGAGGGGGCACCTTTGGGTAACTTTAAAAACACCTTAAAACTTTTTTTTTCATAATCTGAAATGAAATTCGATATTCTTCGATTGGTAGTTAAACTTCCCAGTCATTTAACCTACCAGAATCATATATTCAAATATTGAAGAAATGTAAAGAATGGAAAAGCATTCATGCAAGCATTGATTTTTTTTCTTTTATTGTAGAGAAAAACAAGTTTTCAAAATGAAAACATAGGTTGAAACTCATGCCAATATACCATGCTGTTATGTCGATATTGTTTATATAAAACTAAGCAGTTTATAACACTTGTTAAATCGAGAAACATGTAAACTATCAATTTGCGTTACGTAATTATAAAAAAAAATGAGATGATAAGGTGATGAAGCTCAAAAACAAAAAGCATGTGATCAAGCTCTGAGCGCACAAACACTCAAAGTGTTTATACCTTTTTAAAAAAACCCACGACAAAAAGTGCAAAAAACAAGTTGTTACTAGTTTTTAGGTATGATTTGTATTTCCCTACGATTATATTTCGTCCGTCGATTTGACAGCCCAGAGGGCCGGCTTAAGGGCAGCCAATGGCACGCAATTTGTCGCAATTTTGCTAGAACATAACAATCACATACCACATATGTGTGATAGAAGCAAAAAAAATTTTTTTGTCAGCCCATGGTTGGATCAAAATGAAAAATATCTAAGCGTACCATAAGTTTATTTAAAAATAATCAACTGTATATGTTTATCAGTAAAAAAGATTTTTCCCAAAACAAAACACATTAAGCAAATGCTTTAAGAGATTTCATAGAGAGCATTTTCAGATTAGGTATAAATGCCTAATGAAACGTACAGTTTCTAGCTCACACTGTACTGTTTTTCACGAGTACCAAATTTACTGCTTTTATTGTTGTGCAATTTTAAATGAACGAAAATCGTTTTCAATTTTTTTTAATGAAAACTAACACACATTTAGTATTAAAACTTTGGGCTTCATTCTTCCGGTTTAAGGTATCAGAATCTCATAGGAAACTAATTAAAAAATCAATTCCATCACTGCATCGGAAGAATGTGCAGTGAAAAAATTGTAAAAAAAGTGAAAATTACGTATCTATTAATAATTGATCAAATACATATTCAAAATATTATATAAGATTGAATGGCTGATGGGTTATTTTCTCACAATACCATCTTAAAAGTTGTCTTGATGACTTTGAAATGTTAGACGACTCTTCAGCAGTGGAGTAAAATCATAAGATAGAAATAAAGAGTTACTTGTATAAACAAATTATTTGCTGTATTGATCAATATTAGTAAAATAAGACTTTCACATATCCTGAAATTAGAGGCATTATCGAAAAATGTTTTTTTAGAAAGTTCGAGGATATTAATATATATTAAAGTAAACCCCTTTTCTACCTCACTGGAGAACGGAAATTTAACTCAAAAAATTCAGTGACACGCACAGAACGTTGAAGATTCTGAAAACCTGAACATTGAAATAAAATAGACTGAAACGCCATCTGCGAAACCAGTTTCTTTTTTAAGGGGATGCGAGTTACATGAACACATACAGCATTACAAAATTTTAAAAAAATTCTGACAAATATAGTTTTATTGTTAAATAATATAGTCACTGGAAATATTATTTTCGGGACTGAGAGCTCTATTAGTGTTACATTGTTATTTCATTTGATTTAGAAATATTTTTTCGGGAAATCAGTTTTAGTTCATTAAATTGTGTTTGTTTAATTTATGAGCAAATCCATTAGAATGTGTAGAACTTCTGCTGGTGTCTTATGGTACGCTTAATGTAAACTAATCGTAATATTTTTCCCACTATAAAGAAATTAGAAATAATACATGTATCTTATTTATCACAATGATTATCATAATTTTGTCATTAGATAAAATTGTCTGCCTTATCATTTTATGAACAACGTTTTGTATGGTTATTTCACTATTACATATTTTCTCTGCAGCGGGAAAAGTACTAAGATTATAAGCAATATGGGAAAATCAAAAAATTGACTGGATTTTTAATGGTAGTGTGCAAGAATTATTGTTTATTTCAAGACATTCATACATTTTTATGATACTGTTTCAGCAAAAAAGGTTTTCTACTACATCCATAATTTATTTAGACCTAACACGGAGATGCTGAAATTTTGGATATTGGTACACGCACTTACTGGAGACATTTCATAGCATAAAACAAATTTTTAGAAATAAGAAACAAGTAGGTCTAAAATAGACAGTCTAAGAGGAATGCAGCAGAATAGGTAGCTTAGAGGTGTGACTTAGTCGCGAATTCGACATTACACTGTATGGCCCTATATATCTGTGTACACTGAATGATACACAACGCAGATACATCAGAGTAGTTGCCTAAGCTCAAATTTGGGTGTGACACATTAAGAAGAAGGAGAGATGAGTTACAGAAATGATCTTTTAAAAATATCTGCTGGATAATGAATTATCCACATATTTTCATACTCTAGAAGCTGTTAATAGGGAAAGTGCATGGATACTTGGTGAAAACGTGTGCAAAAAAAATTTTGCTTATAAAGCGTTTCTTGAACAATAAATAATTTCGGTGATAATTATTGGTTTTATGTATTTGCACATGGAGTACACACTATAAAAATAATCATACGATTGTAAGAATGGCAATTATTAATCATTATCAGAAAATACCAGTTAATATAGTCACAAAAATGGTTCGATAAGTCTAAAGTTCAAATGTATTAAATTAAACCTGAGTTAGCTGTTGTAATCATCGCAAGTTTGATAACGATAGAAAACAATTACGTCATAAATTACTTCCGTTGACCTGCTAATAATATTTAAATTTTTGCAAAGTGAAGGAGTCGTTATTGTTTTTTATCAATTCGAAACCCTTGAAACGTTAAAACATAAATACATACTTGAAATCTGTAAGAATATTGCGAAAACACAAAGAATGACAAAAATATAAAGAAACAATTTCAAATCAACGGATCTAAAACAAAAATAATGAATCCATAGTAAAAGAAAA